CCTATGTCAACACATGATGCAGCTTCGAGTACAGTACAGAACGTAAAAAATGCCAGTTTTGCCTGTGGTCAACTGAAACAAGACGTTAAGAAATTACTGACTATTTAGAGACGCTACAAACAAGCAAAGATATGATTGCGGGTAAATCCAAAACGAAAAAACCCAAAAAAAAAAATTGCTTTCCTGGAATGCGATTGCATCGTAATAACATCAAAACTTGCATACTTAGACAGCGCACAACGATTTCAATAAAGTAGTTTCCCGGGGTATAAGAGATACGGAGCGTCTGAGACTTAGCTAATTTTAAAAGGAGCAAAGCTAATTAAGGTTTATGAATTTTTTTTTTCCACGAGTCTCAATTTTTTCATAAGTCATAAGTTTCCATAAGAATTTTTTCAAGCAATTTTCAAAATTCATAAGTCTCAACAACAGGGTGCTTTTGAAACCAAAAACCCTCGGTTCTTGAGACTTATGAATAAATTCCTCCAGATTTTTGACTCATGTCAGTTCTGCAAACGAGGTTTGCAAACACGAAAGGAGAAATTCCCGTGCCCCCCCCCCACTTTTCCCAAAACGTCTTTTTTCAGCGAAAAACTATGGATAAAAAAATGGACACAAAACTGGCAATTATTACAAATAACGAACCAAACAAATCAACGATCAAACAATCAAGAAACAAACCCTGGAAGCTGACATACGCTGATATATATGTAAAATTCATTAACACAACCAAAATTCAAAAAAAAACAGATGGAAAGAAAGCTAATACGTTTAGCCCATTCAAAATTTTGTTATCGAAATCCCTTTCAATCCGCCTCAAATTTGCCGTTCCATCATTTTAATCTTCTTATTCAGAATCGTCCCCCAAAAACCAAAAAAGCCAAATACACGAAGATATGCCTGGATTTTTTGGGTATTACTCATGAGCTATTTTTAAAAAGCATTTCGAAACAGCTCAAGAGTATCTTAAAATGCCAAAAAAAAGCCACTTAACTTCCAACCTTTCAAAAACTCATAAATCGAAAGGCACAAAACACCAAAAAAAAAATTCAAACCGAGACATGAGCAAGTCTCTCTGTACCGAAAATTCACCTCGTTGATTGCATGCCGGGAAAAAAACAACGCAATTAAGATAAGTAGAGATCAAAAAACGAAACGATATGGTATGCGGGATTCAGAGCTTACAATCAAAAGCTTTCAGTGGTAAGCTTATGCCAAGTGATAGCTAATTTCAATTCTACGGGCGAAAAATCCAATCTAAAGCTAATCCGTAGCAAAACGGGGTTAGTACTCCATAAATGGGCGGATCCAAAATGGCTTCCTGGAGGCGGGGAGGAGAAACGATCCCCATCCTCCCTCATCACAACATCGGAAGCCTCACTACCCCTCCCCCTCTCCTTCCTCCGTCGTCGCTATGTCGGACGCTCCGTACCTCCTCCTCCTCTCTTTGGCCTACCCTAACCCTGCGGCGACAATCGACAGGGCTCACGGGGGAGGAACAGAGGGCATCGAAG